TACATGTCTACTTAACTGTCCTACATGTTATAATGGAGGTATATGTAATGCATACACTGGCGAATGTATATGTCCACCAGGATTTACAGGAAGTAACTGTAATACAGGTAAGACAAATAATGACACAATATAATGACGTATACAGAAAATATGTTGTTGGATGTTTAAAGCATCCGTCCATGTACCAGATGTTATTCCTTGGACATGATGTGGTTTAATTTTTGGTACACAGTCAAATCATGGTGGAATGCATACACTGTCACGATTTGTCTTTTTGTTTCGCAAAAACGCGGTATCAACATCATGCACATCATTTCATTTTGCAATTGAAATTGGTCAATTAGTGTTCATTTTTGTTTTTAGCTTATGCGTTTGTATGACCTTTGTAGATGTTGCTGTCACATATGTTATCTGTACTCTTTTATACCATGTTGTTCACTTAAGACAGTATCCCTCGAAAAGAAAAGAAGTGCCAGCATTTGTTCTGCTTTCTACATGTATGTGACAATGGTCATTTTCTTTGCTTTTGTATTGCTTCAACTATGTAATAAGGTTGCCTGGCTATTTTAAATGTCTAAGTATAGTATTGATAATAAAGGTTGCAACATCTTGTCCGTTGCCGTCTTGGTTATGCATACTTATTTTTTGGCTGTCAGGTGGAGCTCTGTCAGATTTGTTAGCTCCACTGTCATCTGATAGCATTGAAATGTGCACTATATATAAGCTAAGATTCCACAAAGACAAACATTATGGAAAACACTGCAGTTCAAGTTTGTTCTAATTTGAGTAGCATTCCATTGATTTTGTTTAATTATAGCTTACAGTGATAAATGTTACTCTTATCGCCACCTTAGAAGGTTTGTGCAAAATGTTTGTATGTCAAAAGTGTCAAATTATTCACACGATGTGGAAACATTGAAGTTATATGACTATATTTTGATATACCGATAGATGGGTAAAGATGCACATGTTTTAAACAACAGATGACATTATTTAGGTTATGTATTCATTAATCTATTTAAATTACATATTGTAGGTTGCCAAAATAGAGGGACATGGGGACAAAATTGTGGCAGAGTATGTACATCATATGATGAAGACGCCTGTCGAACAAGAATGTTTTGTGTTTCTGATCCATATGGATGTTCATGTCTTGCATCATATACAGGATTAGATTGCAATACAGGTAAGTTGAATAAATACACCTAGCAGTACTAATGGTTGTCATAGTGTAATGTTGTGTGTTTCTGATCCATATGGGTGTTCATGTCCTGCGTCATATAAAGGATTAGATTGGAATACAGGTAAGTTGAATAAATACACCTAGCAGTACTAATGGTTGTCATAGTGTAATGATGTGTGTTCCCGATCCATATGGATGTTCATGTCTTGCATCATATACAGGATTAGATTGCAATACAGGTAAGTTGAATAAATACACTTAGCAGTACTGATGGTTTTCATAGTGTAATGATGTGTGTTTTTTATCCATGTGAATGTTCATGTCTTGCATCATATACAGGATTAGATTGCAATACAGGTAAGTTGAATAAATACACCAAGCGGTACTGATGGTTGTCATAGTGTAATGATGGGTGTTTCTGATCCATATAGATGTACACGTCATACAGGATTGA